AAGCCTTAAAATGAGTCTGTCCCTGGGTGAAATAAGGTTCTACACAATCACTATTTGTTACAGTTGATCTTTTTGCAGTGCTACCACCTCTTTAGGAGTTATTCCTTTGTTTGGTTTCCCAAATATTTTTATACCCTGAGTTATGCATGATAATAAGATTGAGGATTCGTGAATACACGTTTTCTTTTGTAAAGTAGGAGAAATGTAAGGAGAGGCTATTGTGAATATGTTTTAATCTCAGATACGTTTTTGGAAAATGTACACAAATAGGTTAAGGATTTGGGAAGTGACTCCTTTAAAACTATACATACTTCATATCCCCCTGGAAAAATCTTAATGTATTCCCAGTGAGATTAGTCTTCCAGTTTGAAGACTGTTGGTTTAGATGATTACCTGCTATGTAGTTAGAAAGGTCTTTCCAATACTGAAATAATATAGTGAATTATTAATTCCTACCCTTCATCTGTTCCACTATATTTCAGTTCTCTTTTGAGTACCTAGAATAGTATAAATTCATCTTCTGTTAATGATTTATCAAACATTTGAAGATTCTATAATGCATCTTCCATGTCTTTCCATCTCTAGGATTAATATTCCTGGTTTCTTGAATTGCTCATTACTTATCGTTGTTTTCAGTCCCTTATAGTTATCCCCCCATAAAGGATACTCAAATTTATCAAAATTTTCCTGATTTTTGATATCCAAAAACCTTATAATGCTTCTATCACCAGGGATAAAATATTCTTTAATACTCAAAATAACACTTCAAAGGAGTAAATATTATTCTTCTCATTTTACAGATGAGAAGACTAAATTGGAAAAAACAATCAGACATCTTGAACAAGGTCAAGAGCTTCATTCAGTTCCTTGTTCATTAATTAGTTGCTGAATGGGCCAGTAGTTGATTTAACAGTAGCATGACAACTTTTGGAATATACCTCTGTAGGTATGTAGGGACCCAGGATAGTTGAGATATATATAATTAGACAATATCAGGATTAGCTGAACATCCCCTGGAAAAGTCCCTGTAAATCTAAGAGGAGCTTGCACTGTGGTCTAGAATGACCTGCCAGGTGACCTAGCACAGTGCAAAGGTAAAACTGGCTGCTGCTCAATCCAAGGGACTGCTGCTGTGAGGAGGGAGGACCCCCACCCTGGGGCCTCCAATCCTCCCTCCTCTTATTCAGGGAAATAGCTCTGCTTTTCTCTAGTTTTACTTGTTGACACTTCCCCAATGGGTACAGAGAGGGATAAACCAAATAGAGATAGAAGTAAGAGATGTGTTTGTGGGTGTATGTGTGTGCATGTGAGAGAAAGAGGAGCTACGAGTCATGAAAAGAATACTAACTTTGGAATCAGTTTGCTTGGGTTGATTCCAGTAACATATTCACTACTAAGTGGCTGAGCATGGTCTTTAACTACTCTGAGCTTGTTTTCTCACCTGAAATGCAGAAAGTACTCAAAGATTTTTGTTGAGCAAATAAGTGAATGAATGAAAAAATAAATAATTATGTATTTTGGCCAAAAAATAACCTTGCAAGGCTATGTTGAGGATGTGCTAATATGGGGAGAGTTTAGTGCAGCCTGGCACATAGTAGGTATTTTGAAACTAATAATAATAATGACACTTATTGTTGTTGCTGTTATTACTGATTCAGTGCTTTTTTGGGTCGATGTACCAGGTGCCCATGTGGCATTTCTCTCTGAGCTAGACAGAGATCCCACATCAAACCTGAAAGTAAGTATTGTATGTTGTTGAATATTTGGAATCTGCCTGAGTCAGGAGGGGCTTTTCCCATCACAAGGGAATATTCTGGGAATCTCAGAAGCTTCTTGGCCTTCCACTATTGGGAGTATGATTTGAGAAGTTTTGTGATACAAAAAATGGCAAGCTATTGTCTGAAAGAAGTCTTGTCATTGCCCCAGATATGCAAAAATCATATAGCAACTCAATGGGACCACTTCCTGCAGCCCAAGAGGTGTGTATGCTTGCTGTCACTGATATTCCTAGGGCTTGAGTTGCAATACCCAGTGACATCCAAGTATGCGTAGGTAGTACACTCACTCTCTGAGTAAGAACAAATTATCAACCTACAGCCTGTTCTTCTTGAAAGAGAAAGGAAGAAGTGCGCTGGGCTTTTGACGTGACATTTGATGTCTTTAATCTATCTAAATCATTTCCAGTTAAATACTATTGTCCCATGGATCACATTCATCTTCTGTAGATTGTAAATTCTCTAAGGCAAGACCTTGTCTTTTTGTAGGTTGTATAAAATGGGGCAGACACATTTAGCACTCATGTTATAACAGACGATTATCACTTGAAACAAAAGAATAAGAACATGGCAGCCTTATCACATGTCCCAGAGGCTTGTTGTGAAAAATGAATCCCATTTTACACATATATTGTAATTACATTACAGTGTATTGTAAAAGGTATGTGTTTCTCCCTGGGAAAACCTGATAACTCATTCTTCCAAGTCTAGAAAACAGAACAGTCAGAGTTAATTTTAATTACGTAAAGATTCTTTACTTTACAAGGCAGCTTTTCTGAAGAATCCTTTAAATAGCCAGATCTTTTTTTGTAGTATTCAAAATTGAATTTGCTTTACAAAATGTTGATTAGCCTCAACTTTTCAGGAGCAAAGAGGGTATCAAAAATGGGGCACTGCAAGTCAGGTGTCAGTGGTGAAGTCTCAGTGATCACAGTGAAAACAAAGCTCATCACTCCATTCCCTTGAAACTGTCAAAGTCAGAACGCCAAATGTGGCAGGTGCCCTCCTACCAGGCAGGAAAGCTAAGCCAGCACTGGGGTCACTGGCCGTTATTAACTGTGTGATTCTGGCAGCCAAGGGCATCAATCTGCCCTCTGAAGCAATTATGTATTATTATTATTCAGCATGTTCTGAACTATTAGCTTTAACAGGTACATATTTTTTAATTGAAACAATTATTAAGAAAAAGCTGATGATATATTCAAATAAATGAAAACAGAACTTTTGGAAGAAATGCTATATTTCTTCCTCCATATGCAAGTCATGGGCGGGGAGAGGAAAGGAGAAGCCGGAGTAAGACTAAATAAGGACTAAAAGAAGGGACCCCCAGATTACAGACAGACAAGTTTTTACTCCACACATCAAACCTTCCTTCTTACAAAACCCTTTCCTTGCAAATACAAGCAGATAGGTGGATGTCAGTCATTCCTGCTATCTCTCAATTCTGATGCATAGCAGGAAAAAGCAGCAGTGTATACTGCATCACTCAATTTAGCAAGTAAGTATTGTACAGGCACTGTGTCAGACTCAAAGATGGTATAGAAATGACACCAGGAGGGAAGAAAGAACTGCACATTTAAGACACCCAAGTGCCTTCAAAGGCCATGCAGTGTCTTTAGGTGCTGTTCCTAGCTGGTTTCAGCAGTAGAAAAATGAAAATACTTCATTTTGAAGTTGCTTACTGTAACCAAATGCACAATGCACATTTTCCCAAGGGCTCTAAACCAATAGTTGATAAGTCTTTGTCCAGATTTAGGCAGGCTGATGAGAATCTTTCAAGAAGTTCTATCCATTGTGCTGAAAGGCTATTGTTAATACTGCAATAAAGGAACCAGGCTCTTTAACAAGTGTTAGGGTCAATGACAAGGTACTTTGTAAGAGGCACAATGCTCAGAATTTTCAAGGGGTAGTTCATTTCTGCACTCCCCTGAGTGATTTTCATCTTCCCGCCTTGTAAGCCTTGTGCATGCTGTGTGTGCTCCTGAATGTCTGGACTGTCGGGACACGAGGAGTGTTTGGTACCCCGAGTGGGTCTTGGGCCTGGAGATGAGTGTGTGAGAGAAGAGAGGAGGACGACCAGTCAGGTCGAGTGAAAGATCACTTGGAGATTCCCCTGGAGAGGAAAACAGTTATTCTGGACTGTTCAGTGTTGAATATATGTTCAGGTTTGTATTTCAGGTTCTGCCACACTTGGGTTTAGAAGTGCCCCTCCCTCCTTCTGGTTCTGACTCAGAACCAGACCAACATAGACAGGATCGGGGAGCGGGACAAGAGGGAGAAAAATCTAATGTGTGCCCCGAAGGGAGACGTATCTCTAGGGTGTAAAAATGCGTTCTTGGGACCATGTGGGAAAGGGCTGAGAGTGAAGAATTGGGCAGCCAGACAACTGAAACTTCAACCCTTCCTAGGCACAGGAGAGCGGAAGCGGGTGCTCACGGGGTGGGGGTGGGGTGCTCCTCGAAGCTCCTGGACAAGGCAAAGGCAGGGACCTGGCATCGCTCTGCCAGGACGTGGTGTTGGGGTTTGAGGGTGGGGTGGGGGCCTGAAGGGTGGCTTGGAGCCCTGGCGGTGGCTGCCTGACGTCACCGGCCTCCCGGGCAATAGGCTGCGAGCTGAGCTCCCCGAAGCGGCAGCAGCGGCAGCGGCGGCGCGGCTTGGTCTCTGGCTCCTTCACTCCGCGCCTTCTGCAGCCGCCACTGCAGCCGCGCGGCCGGTCTTCCTCCCTGCAGTCAGCTGGCGGCCCAGGTAAGGGACGCGGCGCTGCTCCTTCGGGCGGCCGGGTGGCTGGGAGCGAGCGGGTAGAGCAGTCCTGGCGGCCTGCGTAGGCACCCCTGGCCGCAGCTTCAGTTCCAGCCCCTGCCCCCGCCGGGCTTGTGCGCCTCCTCGCTGCTGCTCCGCAGTGCAACAGTTTGCAGCTGCCTCTCGAGGGCGGCAAGGGGGCTCTCCTGCGTGCCGCGGGGCTACCTGGTCCCTGGAAAGAGCCTCAGGGCCCTTGCGCTGGTTCTGAGAAGGCCGGAGAGAAGGTCCATTCCCCAAACTTTGCAGGCGGGAACCCTTCTCCTGTCCATTTCCAGCCCCCAGGAGGAAATAGGATACTGTTAAGTGGGGGACACAAGGAGAGGGGGAGAAGGGGCGTTTGCAAGGTTGTGCTTTAGCTGCGAAAGGTGTTTCATTTGCTGGTTTTTTTTTTTTTTTTGGTGGGGGGTACTAGGGAAAACGCCAGAGAAAGGATGTAGCGCGATCCTGCGCGTCAGCCCCCGCCGCAGACAGAGGCGTTGTGGGATGTGGTGCCAGGGGCACCCCCTTGGGAATGGGACCGAAGAGAGCTGACGGCGGCCAAGGAGGGGCTGGATCTGGAGACGGAAGGGAAGGAGGACTGCGCACCCGGAGCCCGCGCGGCGGCCCGGGGTGGGTGCTGGGAAGGGTAGAATTCAGGCGAGCCCAGCTACCGAGAGGGCGCAGGGAGCGGAGCGCCTGCGTGCGGGAAGGCAGGGGCCGTGCTCCGAGGCGGCTGCGCGTCTGTTGCAATTACAAAGTTGCGGAGGCTCGGGGAGGCTGCTTTATCAGCTGAGAAATCTGCATCTCCGCGGTGCCGGCGCAGACCCCATCCCCGCGAGCGGCAGAGGGAAACTGGCGGCCCTGGTGGGCCCGGGGTGGAAGGCCCGGGCTCCGCGCGCGGCGGAGGAGACCGGCAGCGCCCGGCTGGGGCCGCGGGCGCGGAGGGCCGCTCTGCAGTGACTGCCAGTCCTGCCGGCCCTCCGCACCCTCGGGCGGCGGCCGGCATCCTAACTCAGCCTGTTCTATTTGCAGCCTGGTGCCCGGGCAAAGGAAGAGGGCGCGCAGACACGCGTTCGAGGCGGGGCCGGAGAGGATCTCCGAGGCACCTCTGGCTCTCTGGCCGGCTTGCTTCCCCGCAGTCACTCCCTCGGTCCTTCGCTGGCGCGCGCATCCCCTGCCACCCCAAGGAGGAGTTTTGGGTGGCGTGGGCCCCGTCCTCTTGGCTCGTGGGAACGCTGCGCCCAAGAGAGGCAGTCTGGTGGGCTCAAACCCGACGAGCCCAGCGCCGATGAGTGCCAGGGCACCCAAGGAGCTGAGGCTGGCGCTGCCGCCGTGTCTCCTCAACCGGACCTTTGCTTCCCCCACCGCCGGCGGCAGCGGCAACGTGAGCGCCCGCGGCCCGGGTGCAGGCGGTGGCGGCGGCACCTGCATTACGCAGGTGGGACAGCAGCTCTTCCAGTCCTTCTCCTCCACGCTGGTGCTGATCGTCCTGGTCACCCTCATTTTCTGCCTCATCGTGCTGTCCCTCTCCACCTTCCACATCCACAAGCGTAGGATGAAGAAGCGGAAGATGCAGCGGGCTCAGGAGGAGTATGAGCGGGATCACTGCAGTGGCAACCGGGGCGGCGGGGCTCTGCCCCCAGCAGGCGGCCAGGCTCCAGCCCACGCGAAAGAGACCCGTCTGGAGAGGCAGCCCCGGGACTTGGCCCTCCGCGCCCCGTCCGGCGCCGGCGCCTCCTCCCCGCCCCCTGGCCCCCTGTGCCAGGGCCCCTGTGCTCCTCCACCTCCTCCACCTGCCCCCGGTCCACGAGGAGCACGCGCAGCCTCCTCCTGTTTGGACCAAGCTGGCGAGGGCCTCTTGCAGACGGTGGTACTGTCCTGACTGTCTCAGCCCTCCCTCGTTTCGAGCGTCTTTGCCGTCCTCGCCTGTCTGCCCTCCGGCCTGCCTTTTCCCCTTTCCTCTGGCCTCTTTCCTCTTCAATCTTTCCCTATCCGCCCTCCCCTTACTGTTTCTCCTCCGCCGAGGCACTGTGCGGTATTTGTAAATATTGGGCAAGGAAAGTCTCGGAAGAAGAAATAACGCTGATAATACTTTATTCTTCATATTTATAGTAATTATTATAATACGAATAACACAATTCAAGCGCATGACAAATCACATAATGTCTCGTCAATGAAGGACGCGTCTTCCCTCCCCACCCTGCATCTCCCACAATCAGGAGGAGAAACCGCACAAGCTACCAAATACTTAAAGGCACTGACCCCCGGGAACCTGGAGGGAGGGGGCCCGGCGTGTTGTACATAGCCGCCAAGTTGAGGCCCAGGGACCTTCCTAGTCTCCGCCCGGAGCTGTCACCTTTCCTTCAGCTCTCCCTCCCGTCCTTGTTCCCACGCTCGGCCGGGCTCCGGCAGTAGCGCAGGATACAGAAAACGTCTGCATTAGCACCAAGACTGTAAGAGACCTTCGAGGTGGTCCCGGGAAAGCGTGTAGACAGGTGCCGCTCTCCACTCAGCCCTCTTCTCACCTCTCAGTCATTCCCTTTTCCAGGACCAGGTATTTTTATTTACTTTTAGAAATTTCCCTCGCTGGCCGAGCATAAGTACATTGAAAATCTTTAAATAAATTTAAAAAACTAATCTGCTTTAGCTCCCTGCCCCGCCCCCTCCTGTACACCTTTGATTCCGGACATTTTCAGCATTCACAGGGACCCGGGAGATGTCCAGCCAGGTCTGGTGCTGAAATTGCCTCACCGAACTGGCTCTTTTGGTTGTGCAGGCAGAGGAGGGGCTATTTTGGAAAGTGACTATTCTAGCTTTGTGTTGCTTTCTTTCTTCTTTTTCTACAATCAGGTTTGCGTGTACTGTTGGTTTTCATATTATTAAACATTGCATAAGTTACCTTTTTTTTGTAAAAAAAAAAAAAAAAGAGTATTAGGTAATGTGCAGTCCTGAAATGCAGTATCTAACCAACCAGAATGTTTCTGTTTAATTTTTAGAACAAGTGCACCTTTGTTATATATTATATTGGTACCAAATACAGAAGCAAACAATAGTTCTGTACTCGTCCTCTAAACTGTATATTCTTGTTCTTAATTTCCAGCTGTTGATATAATGGTTACCACTGGATGAGGAGTTCAGTGGTGCAGGCCTGGCTTTTTCTGTTTCTAGAAGTGTTCTTTTGTACCTTACTCTGTAGTAGACTATTATAAAAAGATGACACATATGTTTTCTTTTTTCTTTTGTGAATAACAGAAACAACCACAACAAAAAACAAACAAATAATGGATGTGCCAGAATGCCATCTATTAAAACACGGTTAATATTTAAACAGTGCCTGTAGTCCTCCCTGCATGCAGTTACCACCTGGAGGCAGTGATGTGTGTGCTTGCTTGTACTGTATGTGTTTGGGGGTGAGACTGGTGGGGACGGCTGGGCAATTTGGATGACAGGACATGCGAATTTCAAGAGAAGTGAAACCCAGTAATTACTTGTATAAAAAATGTGTAGTAGAAATCCATGCCTGCACCTGAGATTCAGCAAAGGAAGGGCTCTTTCTCTTTCTCAGTCTGGCTTACCTAACTTTAATGAATACATGAAGAAAGACTGAGAAAAAAAAGTGAGAGAAGAAGGTCAATATTTTTGTTCTCTCTCCTAATGTGAGACAAGGCCATCTATGTTAGAAATGGAATTCACCACTCTGTTTCCCTTGGATTGATGATAGAAGGAGCCAGAAGCATATTACAATCTTAATGTAGATGCAGTGGCAGCCTTTTTTGGCAACCAATTCTTTGACAGTTATTCAAACATTTGAAAAATGTATGTATGAGAATGTCCTACAAAAAGCTCAGCTGAAAGAGTCCTTGCTAACCTGCAGGGTGTAAGGCAAAACAGAGCCCTTAACTAAGTGCATCCCTCTCCCAAGGAACTAGTAATTCTAAATTCTCTGTCTTAGCTCCGGGCATATGTGCTCTTATCCGGAGAAAACTTTACCTCTGAGGTTTTAGGTCATCTCTTAGATTGTCCAAGCTCGATCTATTCATTTATAAAAATAATCCAATAAGCTTCATTTTAATCACCCATTAGATTTTCACTCAAGTCCTTTACTGAAGCACAGAGGATCGTCATTTAAACATGCCATGTTGTAATATTAGGAAGACCAGGTATAATCTTTGGGTACAATATTAAACAATGAACCAGATTCTCTCCAGTGCCTTAGTCACTTCTAGTAATAGGTAAAAGAGTGCATTAACTCCCTCACGCCACTAGGGAATCCTTTAGTGCATCAGAGCTCTGCATTGTACATCAGAATGACTAAGGCACTGTGAAGAAGAAAGACCATTAAGTTTTGTAGCTCACCCTCATCCAGCTGTAGCTCCTTAATACCTTATTACAGAATGACTTTTGGACTTGAAATCTGAATAGAATCAAGGACTCAGAAGGGCGCCTCCTCATTTCCAATGAGCATTGGATTCCCAAGTGCATGGATATTACTTTCTCTCCTTATTTGGTGCACTTTTTACAGTGAATAATTTCCCATTTTACTAAGGCAATAAGATGTTCTGTTGTCAGCAGTGCTGGATGATGATTCCATTTCCTTGGTGCTGAAGCTACTCATAGATTCTTGCCTTATGAATCACAGTGCATTTAAGGCATGCAATAACAACCCCCATCCAAGGAGCAACCTATACACTCTAGGAATAATAATGAAATTGTCCTATATATTTTTTCTCCCAAAGAATAGAGAAGACAGGAGAAAAAAATAATTATTTATATTGTTTTTAAAAATGATCATGATACCTCCAAACATGGGCCCACATCCATAAAATGTTTTTATTGTGCACCTTTAAATATATAAGCCTCTCTTCATTAATTGACTATGGTTTGCTGTTTTTATAGTCCTCTGTGTAAAGATGATGCGGTTTGTGAGTCAAGTCTCATGCTGCGTTTAATATACTTGGAACTCTAAGTTTCTGGTTGTGTCACTTGAGATTTTTTATGAGATAGAAAAGTACATGAAATTCTACTAATATCAATCCTCACACCAAATTACTGCAATAAGCACATACCCAAGTAATTCACACAGACTCTGTAAAGCATTATTTCTTACAGTGCTCAACTGACAGTCTCAGGAGTTTGGGATGCAGCCAATGAGGCATTTTGGATTTCATTTATATGAAAAAAGGCAATCTGGAAATAGCTAAATTTATTTTAAGGATTTTATTCACTGATGTCCCGTCAAACTAATTGCTTCAAATCCCTATAGTTACAGTTCAAATTTCTGCATTTGCTATTCAGTATTAATAAGGTGGCATGCTTGATTCTTACTGTTTTTAAAAACTGGGCAGAGAATACCATTTTGTCAATTGTATGGGACTCTGAATGTTAAAGATATAGATGGATATAATCTTCCTTAGAATTTATATACACCCATAGATATGTATTTATATACACATACATTTTGTACAAATTTACACTGGACTTTTTGTATTCTCTTTTCTGTCATTACAAGAATGAAATGGAAACCAAATAGCTGTTCCATCCTCTTCTCCAGAGGATACTGAGAAGTCAAGTATATGCATGTACTTACTCTTTGGGATTAAATCTGAATGACTGTCTCTGTATTTAATGAAAGGGAGAGTCCTAGTTGGCTTGGGGAATTGGTAATTAGGTAAGCTTTCTTTCCTAGCTAATGACTGAAATGTAAATGTAGCAATGGTAAAGAACTTATGACCATGTCTATGTGGTCTAAATATCTGATGGAAAGCAAAAATATCTAGAAGAAGTTTAAGGCTATCTAAACCACAAAACTGGATTATGGCTTGATTTTGTTTATTTTCAATTTACATGTTGTGTGAAGATAGACCTAATATCTGCATAGTTAAAGGTAAAATGAAAATATGACTAAATTATCTGTTTAGTTTGATTAGTTATTTTTTAATATAGATAAATTAGCTTTAAAAACTTTGGTAACTGATTTTTGCACCATTTTTTATATCAATTGAATTAATTAAACAATGGTTAAAATTCCTTTTTTTTTTTTGCCATTGTGAAAACATGATTTAAATACTTTTCTTTGGGTGACAGCTGAGCAATTGCTAGCTGATACTATGTGGAAGCTATAGGTTAAATTAGAGCCAGAAACTTTAATCTAATCTGGTCAGGCTTCTTAGGTCCATTTCCATGTGAATTTTGGACTTTGAATATGATTCTAAAAAGCCACTTTTCTGGGCTATCCTTTTTTGCAACTAGTGGTTGTGTTTCATAGATGTTTTAGTCCACATTAGAATGAGTTAACCTATCTACAGAGGGATATTTAATCATTGGATGGGACATAAATGTGATTCTTATTTGGTTTTTTTATTTATTTGATAGCATTTGATAAACAGCTTGATGACTTGACATCAATACTTATTAGTTTCACCAATCTAATAATACAACTGGTATCATGTAGGAATGCTTAGCTAAGAATAAAAATTTAATTAACTTTAATTAGGGACAATGTCTTACCAAGGTGATCCTACCTGTTTGAGGTATGGACACTTATGATTTCATTGGGTTGTTTCTACAGAGAGCAACAATAATGATGACAAGCATAGTAACAGAAAAACTGATTTTTTGAATGTAAGCATATCAGACAATAAAACGGATATTAGAATTCATGGAAAATTTGTTTTGCTTTTCTATCAATAAAAGAGTTTTCTTGTTAATTGGCTTTTTGGACACTATTTCCTTATCAATCTAATCTATAATATAGCAGGATTACAAAATTATTCATTCTATTACCCTCAAATGCTCAGAGAAATTAGTTATTTTTTAATTCTATCACTCATACGACATTCTTCACAAATCAATTTTACTTGATAAAAGAGAAGTGTATTCATTTTAGTAGACCCCACTAAAGTGAATCCAGTACAGTAATTTAGCAATCCTTTCAGCCTTGTTTAGGCTCTTTAGTTCATAAACCTGGTGTCTCAGACTTCCTTTTTCCCTGACTGTAATCCTCTAAAACAGCATGTGTGTGGGGAAAGGATGTGGTTGACATGATTTTGTGGCAGTTGGGGAAATGGGGAACTTCAGATTCATATGAATTCCAGTGGATGCTTGCTGAACCCCAGTGAAAAGCAGCTGATGGGTACTGCTCCCTAGCGTGAGGTACTATTGTCCTATCCAGCTTGCGTGCTGCCATTCATCCCTGCAGGCTTAGACCCTGAACTTTGTCCCCAGTCTCAAAGTCGTCATCCGCAGGAATCTCTACATCCCATCCCTCTGCCATCCTAGGCTCAGCAATGCTCTCATACCTTGTTCCCTTCTTGTAGTCGAAGGGACTTCTGGGTGTCTGGTGCGCCATGGACGTACTAGGTGTCTGGCACGCCATGGACCTACTAGGTGTCTGGCAATCCACGGACCTACTTGGAAAGGCATGGGTTCTAGGTCAGGATCACCTGCCTATTCACCACTGCTGCCACCTCAGCTCTGCTAGTCTTGTTTCTTGTCAGGTGGTGCCTTGAAGAAGATTTTCTTTTGAGGTCTAGTAGCCTGCTCTAATACATTCCAGGGGGAGAGGTTGCCATCTAGCCCTAATCCTTAGGTTTCAACAAAGCTATTTAAATGTTAGGAAGCACCATTCTCTTCCTTTTAATTTCTAAGTCTATGTGGAGAGGAGAAACAAGGCCTTAACAGCTGCCTCTCTCACTTTTCTGTCTCAGTTTTCTCAAAATGGTCCCAAATTGAAAGGCAGATTTTTCTCTTGATGCCTACTTTTCTGTACCTGAGACTCCTTCTAATAGAATTAGCACCCCACTTCTGCAATGGACTTTGTCTCCTCTTTCCTGACATGAGCCTTATGACTGACTCTTAATGGGAGTTACATAGGGCATAGGAGAAAGAGAGAGATGCTTATTGACAAGGGATCCTAAATTGGGAGATATTTGTAATTTATAATACTACTATAGTAAACCTTTATATTCCTGAAAAGGACACTTACTCAAAATTATGATCCTACCCTCCCTTTTTTTCCCAGAAAGTGAGAGCTTTGTCATCATCCTACATTTGTTTCTCTGTTAACTTCTACTCAATCCCTCCAAGTTTTGCTAGATAATCTGAGTACTGATTGAGTCTTACCTTGCATTACCCTTGTTCTCCAAGAAGGCACAGCCTCTTCCCAGTACCGGCGCATTGCTTCACCTGCTCTCGCCTTTTAGTTGCTGCAGATTGGAG